TTTAAAGATTCATACAAGGTCTTTCGTAAAGGACAGCCCAAAGCGCTAGGGGTGCGTCTTCTTCTTCTTCATTATTATTATTATTATTATTATTATCGATGTTGTTGTGTTAAAAACAATAATAATAATAAATTGAAGTTCCTCACTTGTTTCTTCTTCAGACTGTACAGATAGTCATAGGGCTGCTTATTATCACTCTCGGTTTGGTGCAGTTGCAGAAATTCCCGGAAATCTCGATCTATACAATGCCCAGCGTTCTGGTAATGTATCCTTTATTCATCTCTTTGCATAGTGTATCTAAACTCACCTTGGGGCGGCTTTCGCCAAAGCTTTATAATGTAAGTAGTTCGTTATTTAGTACTTCGGACCGATCGTTAATTAGCGAGCGTTTCCCGAAACCCTCCGTATCTAAAGCAGTTCCCTGTCTTGCTCCTATAGATGTGTGAGTGCTCCGACAAACCTATTTTCTTCGTTGTTCTTTATTTGAATTTTTGCCTGCTGTCCTGTTACAGAGACAGAGAGATCGGCCAAAATAGATGACAAAACAAATTGACGGTATTTTTTGGGCAACGTAATAATTCTGATGATTACAAGAGGTCAATATCACAATATAAAACTATAATGTCGACTGTAAATTAGCGCAAAACGGGCTCGTTGTTACACCTATATAAAACTGGAGTACGTAACAGGTCAGAAGTGACTTGAGAATGACATTGAAAATGAAATTTAATTAATAAATCGGTTGAAAAAACAGTGCAGAATCCCAATTCCATTTGGCACATTAAGAGAGGTGTGTGCATTCCTGGGGCGTCGGAAATTGGGGGAACGTGTCCACCCCAGTATTGGCAGAACCCCTTCCTAAATAAATACATAATCAGCAGCGCATTGATCTTATCTTTGATTATGAATCCGCGCGTTACTGAGGCAAATTCGCTGCGCATTCGGAGCGCAAGGACGAAACCTAACAAAGATTGTAGTGAAGTATCAGACAAAATCATTTTATTAATATGGACCAGTTATTTTTTAGTAAATTGATGTTTAGTTGTGAAACTGTACCCTTAGCGATGTTAGTCTTATTTTAAATGAGCAGTATGAGCCGACAACAGCGATAAGAGACTTAACTAAGAACGTTTTGGAGAACACGTTGAAGTGTTAAGAGACAACTTAAGGTATAAAACTTACGAACGACATAGCGTTAAGAAGGTTTCCGGAAACTGGGCCCTGAACAATGGTAAGCTTGACCTACATAATGAGCTAACCAATCAAATTTGCCTTGTGTTAAGTTACATCCTTTGAATTGGGAAGGTGAATCACCCCTAATGGCCAGTAATGGCAGAATTGTGCAAGTCAACCGAAGACAGCATTTGAGACAGCGCCATCCAGGAAGCCAGGTTGCTTGAATATACACTGTTTGGTGGGTGGCCATGACTCCCTTGGACCATCTCAGTAATGAACAATTCACTGAGAAACACAGGCTGGCCTGAGGTGAAATAATGAGCCTCCTTGGATAAACTGAAATGAACACACCAGAGTTTTGCCCTCAGTGCACCGTGCAGCTTCTGACTGCTCTCTGCTTCTACGCCACTGGTGGATTCCTGCAGACCTACAGATGCACATGGCCTCAGCAAATCTGTGCATTGATCACATTTCTGTTGCACCATGTGCACAATTAAATACTCCAGCAGGAGGGGATGCCTATAGGATGCCCCATATTGGTTTTCATGCCATTGCGGACATACCTGCCATTGTAGGTGCAGTGGATGGAGCCCTCAGCCCTATTCATATTTGCAGTCCCTTGAATCCCACCTGCGCCTGTCGAAAAGGGTTCTTGGCATTAGGCCTAAATGTCCAGGTGACATGCAACCATCAAGGACATTTTACAGACATTGTCATCAAGTGGCCTGAGTACACAGGATGCTTATATCTGGTCCGGCCTTGTAGTGAGTCGGCAAAGGATGGTGGATTTGCTGGTGGCTGGTTCCTGGGAGTCGGCAGGCATCGTCTTAGCCTTGAATCCTCAAGCTGTGACTGAGGAGAGGTATCAGACCACACAGCAGAGACACACACTGCTGCAGAGACACACACTGCTGCAGAGACACACACTGCACAGCAAAGACACACACTGCTGCAGAGACACACACTGCACAGCAGACACACACACTGCACAGCAAAGACACACACTGCTGCAGAAATACACACTGCTGCAGAGACACACACTGCTGCGGAGACACACACTGCACAGCAGACACACACACTGCACAGCAAAGACACACACTGCTGCGGAGACACACACTGCACAGCAGAGACACACACTGCTGCGGAGACACACACTGCTGCAGAGACACACACTGCTGCAGAGACACACACTGCACAGCAAAGACACACACTGCTGCAGAGACACACACTGCTGCAGAGACACACACTGCACAGCAAAGACACACACTGCTGCAGAGCCTGCTTTGGCCATGTGGACGATGAGATTCTGGTGCCTATATACACGACTCCCTGGGAGCTCTGAGATTTCCCCATGAACGCTGCTATGTTATGGGTACAATGCTGTAGGACACTGCAGTAATTAGTTAGTTTCCTATTGCTGTTCACTGTTGCGTTTTGTTTACAAGGAAGCAACATCACATTTTCAGGCCATTTTTATATTTTCAACAAATAGGTTAATTTATTTTGGTCTTGATTTTGGTTGCTTTGTTGTGTTTTTATTGATTGTCTAATTAATTTATATATATTTTTAGATTTGCATATGTCTGGTGTGACAATCACATAACATAGTTCACCACTGAAATACATTGAATCGACGATCCTGTTATCGACAGTATTGTGCGAATTTTGTTCCGCGGAGGCTGAGGAGCCAGCAAAGTACTGCTTAAAGTTTGTTCGTTAATTCTTGAATAACGAAGGGTTTTGGGAAACGCACGTAGACCTCACTCTTTCTTTACTTACGTCGTTTGTTATCTCTTCGTTATTGGCTAAGATCGATCGCTTTTGAGAAAGCCACCCCAAATTGTGCTTAACGAGGCAGAGGTGTAACCAGTTCTCATAGAGAGAGATCTCCCATTTGTTGGGCTTGATGTCCAAACTACAGATGTGATCTGTTAAAAAAAAACTTTTCTGATGACTTAATTTGAGTGCGTGTGGATGATCGAACCGATGTACAATGATGTATTTGTTATATTTTGTAGTTTGTAGCTTCTGGCATAGTATCATATGCCGCTGGACACTCGCCAAATATGTGCGTGGTAAGTCTCAAACGACGTCTTTCCTTCTGTTAATGTTTAACGACAAATCACAAGTAGCAGGTACCTACACCGTCAGAATAAATTGTACAGCACGGGTATAGTTTTGTCCCCCGAGGTATAAACAACATTAATGTACCGCTGATAGTCAATAAAGGTCCTCAGAGTTCATTTTGTTGTACCTTAGGCTAGAAGGTGCATTTCCCTGTACAGGTAGGGTACAGTTGGCAGACCCTTGAGGGTAAAGCCCCAGTGAATAGTAATTGTACCCTCAGAGGTATATGTTGGCATTATTATCTGACAGTGTATAATGACAGCTCTCAGCTCTGGTATGATAAATTCACACTTCCACTGGGTGAACAAATGTGTGCTGCTTCACTCACCTGTACCTGTGTTTTCTTTTGCTAACAGACCAGAACTTCATTCACACTGAACATCATCAGCTTATTCTGTGCTCTGACTGCTCTGTGTTTGTGCATTGTACTTATTATTTCGCGATATTCACCATATCCACCATATCAACCACATTATTCTCATGTAAGTCTGACAGCCCATAGATGTTAAGATTCTATATTTAGTTATTTTGGCAGATAAGTCCAGCATTAAGGCTATGAGAGGGAGTAATATTGTCAAATGTATTATAGTTTGTTTCACAATATATAGAGGCTTCTGTAATTTTATTGCAGTTTTGTTTCTCATCACAACCCTGTACTGGGTGAGTGTTTATGTAAATGGATGCAGGTCTATTTTATTAATACTGTGCAGTCGGATGTCTATAGCAATTTTAATTCATTATATAAATGGTTTGATATACTTCTCAGCATGAGTAGGTCTGTAACATGCATTTATATACCACGTGGAATGTATTTGTATGTAATATAAATTCTTTTCTGTTAAAAAATAACCATCCATATTTGACTCTTTACAGACTGACAAAGGGATCGATGTGATTATTGCGATTCAGCTCTCGCTGCAGCTGGTTGTGGCGACAGTTTTAATTTACTGGGAGAGTAAAGCAGTATGCAGGACTGACTTCAATACCTTGGTATGATATATTATATATATATGATACATATGTGTCTCTGTATGTATATCTATATGTAATAATTATTATTAGGTCGTCTAAAGACTTAAAATGCATATTAATCGTGTCACTAGAATTATAAAAGTTAGTCAATATAATTTTATTTTCCTTCATTCATTTTCAGCCTTTGATCAACTTAAAGTACGTCTGAATCCAAAAGTGGCTGGATTTTTGTCCTGGAAAGTTTTGTCTGTGGGACAGTGGACATCCTCTGAAGGTTTTGGTCTGTTTCTCATCCTGATGGCTTCTACAAGGCGGAATTAAGACCTTAATTCAGGAATAGAGAAGTGTTCTGAAAATAGATTATTAGTCCGTCACACAGGAAGGTTATAACTCTCACGATGCTGAAAAACAAAAATTTGCCGTATTAATTTTTTACTGAAATGTCGCAACAAGAACAACAGGCTTGAAGTTCCCATTTCAGGAAATTATAGTTTTAAAAAACATTTCAATGTATATTAATAAATATTTGCAGGCCAAATAAGTATGCTTTTGCAGGGAAAACTCAGAATATTTACATATATTTTCATCTTTAATTTTGTATCCTATGTGACCGACAGATTGTTCTGTATTGATAATGTGCACTATGATGTCAACAATACCTTTTTAAAAATAAAAGTGGTGATTATTATCATTTCCTCTTTAATTAATGCTCTCTGGTCCTCATTGTATATATATGAAATATTTTTAGGGTTTTTTTGTTTAGATTGAAAAAATGTTTGCATGATTGATTTCATTTTCACCATGTGTTACATTTTTATTATTCTTTGCCGAAAATAATGGGGTTATTCAGAAAGATTTTATACATTCTGGTACAATGCATAATCAAAATGTGAGTCAAATAAAGCAATCAGTCTATTTTCTGTTGCCAGTGTGTCTCTCTCAATACTCTCACAGAAGCACATGAAGCAGCACTTTGCTCAGTGTCTGGTGCTGTTTTCCATACCTTTAATATCTTTCTAAGAGCAGGGATTTCGGTGTGGACAGCAGGGACATGTCCCTATCAAACTGTAGGAGTATGTGTGTGTTTAGGGGGGCAGGGGGTTGGGGGCTGATTTGCCCCCCACCAATGCTGAAAGCAAACCTATTCCCTTGCATCTTCCCTTTATCCTTTATCTTAAGATGCTGAGAGTTTCAGTTTCAGAATGATTAATATTCAAAAGGCTGAAACAAGGGAAACAGGGAGAGGGAAAGAAATAATGAATGTCAGAAGACAATGGAGGGGGGGACTCAAAAACTTCCAAATAAGGAAAAAAGGGGTCAAAGTCAACTGGGGGCCGAACCCCCTGGCGTGTGAACATTAGAGAATTCATTTTAGTTACGGCCAAATAATAAAAATATAACTTAGACTATAAATTAACGCAAAAGGGGCTTTTTGTTGTACCACTTGTATGCACTTCGAGTACATAAGAGGGTTGAGCACCATTCAGAATTTGAGACTTAAGAATGACCTTAAAAATCAAGTTCAATTCACAAAATTAGCTGAAAATATAGTGCAGTAACACAATTTGACTTTGAATATAAGGAAGTAAAATTAAAATGGAATTGATTTCACATAAATTCATATACATAGTGAAGGTGCAGCTGTAAAAATACAGCTTTATATTTCAATATGATTAATTGAAACAGTACAGCCGAGATCTCTGACAGGCACAGGATTAAATTTGTCTTGAAAAACTCTGATGGTCTGGCAAGAATTAACCAAAGCCTGCTTTCAGGAAAACTCAAGATGTAGTGCTACCAAACTACACTGTCTGACAGGATAATGTGGGGATCTAAAACTGAAATTCTCTCATCCACAGTAAGAAAGATGGATGGGAAAGGCAACTCATTCATCTGAAAGTAGCTGCCACCTGTATCCATCAGCGCAGGCTCCTAGCAGAAGAAGACCTGGCTAGTGGTGAAGCTGGGGGAGTCCACTGACCAGGCAGTGCGGAATGCAAACATCCAGATCCACATTGGCCCTATAGGCGGAAAGCCCAGGCAGAAGTCGACTTGGTGATTAGCAGGTTCCTGCACAAAGAGATCATGGGAATCCAGACAGAAGAGCTCTTGGGTAGGGAGAAGCTCAGTGGGGCTGGTCCAGGGCCAGCAGGAAAGAGAGGAAGGATCTGGTGGTGTCTGAGGTGATGAGGTTGGAGGATGAGCACTGTAAGATCAATGCAGTAGCACAAGGATGACAATGTAGGAAGACATCGCTGGCAGACCTGCGGAAAATCTTACTTTGCGAGATGGAAATAACTGGAGCAAACTTGCAGATGGTCCTGAAAGAACCAGCTTAAGAGGCTGAGAAGAGAAGCTTTGGCTCTGGTTGAGGAGAAAGGAAAGAGATGGGGAGATAATTATTAAAATGACAAAGCTTTTTTTCCTGTGACACAATAACAGAGTAAAAGTATTTTAGCGAAATTTTTACCTCCACGCTATAATGTTGGTACATAATTGAAGGTAAAAAAAAGTCTTATTTTAATATAGCTGACTAGCAATGCAAGAACTGGATGTACATAACATGCAATGTTTTATTGTATTAAAATTAATGTATTAATTTTGCACATCATCCAGCCCTATAATTTTCCAGTTCAGTACAAAAACTTAACCTAGTGCTGTGATGTCATATGGCGCTGTTACCAGTTTTTACTCCGTTGGAAAACAAGCCCTTGAAGTACGAGACTGATAATCTCACCCCCACAGACATGGGCTGCTTGTGTAGCAGGTTGTGGCTTCTTGATCTCGAGGACCTCATTTGCTTTCTACAGCTTAAATGGTGGCTCTGTTACCTCAGACTCTTCTTCAGATTCAAAACTGGCCATGGCGATTATTCTTTTCCCTGTGAAAATATATTCATTTTTACATGGTGGTTGTTCTGGTCAAACTTTACCCTCCCTAACTGCTTATTCAGTAGGTTCTTCACAGTAAGTTTGGACTATATTCCAGGAAGCAGAGTCGCAATATATAGGTGACCGGCTAGGGCACCATCTTTTGAGGAGGCGCCCACTTAGCAAACCACCAGCGCGAACCCAGCAAACGTAAGCCCCAAGTTTAATTTTGTCTCCGTACCTTATATGACACAAAACACTGGACGGGATGGCAGTACAGTGTACCATCCATCCATCCATCTAATCTGAGGAGGGTGACGGGGGGGCTGGAGCATTTACCAGTCAACAAAAAACCTTCCTGTCTAGTGTGTGACCTCCTGGCGTTTGGCTGCTGTCCTTCGTTGTGTTGTTGTTGCTCGTTATGCGCTCTTCGTAAAGATTGATACAAAAAGGAACTTCGTGTCAAATCGTCTCTTTTCGACTTTATTCGCCGCTGCCGCGATGCCTCCGTCTGATGGCACCACGTTATATAGTATAAAGAACTATTCATGACTTAAGTCAATAAATAAATCGTTATTTGGGAGGGATAAGGCCCCTCTAAAATTGGATTAAAGACGCCCCTGCGTTTTGTAATTAATAATGAGGTCTAAGGATATAGTAGATTTTTTTTCGATTGTATATTATATATTTGTTTTTCTGTCACTCTACTGCAGATGAATAAAGATGACCTACCATAACCAAATCCCCCTACCTAACTAGTTTGTTGGGCACGCCGGTGTCAATCGCTGCAGGTAATGTTTTTTCAGCATATAAACTTCCGAGAAGGGGGTACGGTGTGGTTGTGGGTTGTGAATAGAACAGAAACCATCAAAACTGCAGGTGCCAGATTTTCCAAAACTCTCTTGTACTTTTGGCCTTTCTCTAGTGTTGCATTTTTTTTTTTTAAAAGCCCGTGTTAATTTTTGGAACTCATCACAGAGTCCGGGAGTCTTATTTCTTATCTACAGCGATTTGCACAAATAACCACCAATTGTAAGATGGCAAATTCAATGTATTAGTTTTTTTCTGAAAAGTGCTGTGGCGGCCCCTCGACCTTAATTAGTTCAAAGTTTATTTTCAGTAGCTGAGATGTTGAAACAGCTAGGAAAGGGAAGTGTAGCTGTCGTTGCGCCATGAAGGCAAGTCCCTGACAAATAATGCGTATTTACATCGTAAGTAAATGTACAGTGAAACAAATATATAGGCTACTTCTTATTAGCAGTAATATACTATGGATGTACAAAAAAAACAATTATAGGACGATTAATAAATGTCTTTAGTTTCCGCAATACTTAGCATACACACACACACACACACACACACACACACACATATATATATATATATATATATATATATATATATATATATATATATATACACACAATTATATATACATTTATATAACATAACTATATAAACATTTCTTAGGAGTATAAGGCACGAGTACCAGTGCATCTTACATGCATGTCTTTGGATTTGCTGATAAGTCACGCGGCGACATCGAAAATTTACTTACGACTGAGGCCGTTTCAGTTAGTGGCCCTGATGTGCAGCAGTAGCTGCTCCTACCAGGTGACTTATTAGTTTACTTTACTCAGTGATTTTTTATTTTTTTTTTCATTTAACAAAAGCAATAAAGTGGTGTTTTTATGAACCCTTTTAATCGCATGTAGTGCCTGGTACTTTTCCGCCTCGATCTGCTTTCTTCGCTTCGCCCGAATCGTTGTCAGTGAAGCGACGCAGCGCAGTCGATAGGGGTGGGTCTGTGTGGTTTGTCCCCTTGGTCCGGGGTTTTTGTCATCGCGACTTTTCAGTCACCAAACCCAAGCGCAGTACAATCCTGCACAGCTGAAGTCACCAGGTAA